AGGTTAAAACTAATTGCAACGTAAGTTGCAACATTAAAAGTTGCAACATATTAATTACAGTTCCCATCTTTAATCAGAACATATTTTTTCCTTCATTTCATCATCTACTGAGAGGTTTTTATCTTTTGAAATTTTCCTAACGCATTTCATGAATTTTTCCCATAATATTTTGACAGGGTTACTTATCATAAAAATCTTGTAGCTAAGCCATTCACCATGAAATATTTCGTATGAGCTACCTATCTTTTGATACAATATTTCTCGTGCTTTTTTAATCACACTTTTATAAGAACGTTTATAAGCAATCCCACAGGATATCTTCATCTTAAAAGCAACACCATTCACTATGATATTTCTTTTACAAAGCCCTTAAGCCACAACTTAGCCTTCTTTTGAGCATAATCGTTTATCTGCTTATATTTCTCATCTGGATCCTCAATTTGCATTATTTTATCCGAGGGGATCAGCTTATGTCTCTTATCATACATGATAAATTGAACACAGAGACCAATGATAGATTTTCATAATAATGATATAAATCTAACTCCTTGCCCAATTCCTTAGCTACGTTCACAAATTCCATTTTCTCGCCTTTAGTTGAGTTTAACTTTCTACCATGCAAATCAAAAGTCGTGTCTAGATGAGTTACTACATAACTAAAGCACTCATCTGGTACTGGAATCTTAGTATCGCATTTTCTTCTCATTCGTTCCATAAAACACTGAACAGCTTTGTTGTTTACATCAGGTTTCTATGCATCGGTCTCTATAAACTGTTTGAAATCCCATTGCTTGGAATTGGTTATAACGTCCCTGAGAACGTCCTCAACAATTTCATGGAGTGATCGGTCATTGTTAATATCCATAGTTCTTCACATAATCCTATCTCCTATGGTTTTGAAAACTTGGGATTTATCCTGTTTCACAGTATCGATTTTTCTTATAAAAAGCTCTTCCGGTTTAAAGTTTAGGGTATCTTCATGGGAGATGCCAAAATATTTTTTCTTTCCAGTAAATACTACCAGAAATAATACTTCTTCATAAGCCATTTTGAGATAATCTGATCTGGTTTTTAACCTAAGAAAGTTATTTACTTCATTGCGTAATTTTTTCATTATTCCCATAGTAATTTTGACCATTTCGGTCTAATACTCTAGTTTTAAAATTATGCCTCCATCAGTATCATAAGATAAATCGCATTTTTCATAATAGGAATCTGGGCAAGTGAGATATAGGGAATCGGTATCACCATATTTTATCCTAAAACCTTTCTTTTCTACAAATTCTACAACTTGTTTGATATTTTCTCGCCTAGCTGAAGTAACACCTCCAGCGAGCTCAAGTTTGTAGAATGGAAAGTCATTTGGCCTGTTATACCATAGAATGAATTCATATACAATTTAATGGCTTTCTGCTTTGAATTCTTTAAATTATAATTAAAGCAGATGTAACTATACTCTTTCCTAAAATCGTCATAAGATGAATTAATAAAGGGACTCAGAATTTCAGCCATCTCGGTATGCTTCTTCGTATCTTTTGTCAAGGATAGAATATCCTTAATTATGCTGCTATTGGGTAGATTCGCTGGCTGAATCCAATCTACCTTTAACTAACTTCATATGTTCCTTTTTCTTTTTGAGAAGTTTTAGCTCAGCATTCATTTTATTTCACATATTGAGTAAATTTTCCAATATTTTTGGAAATAGACCTTTCTGATCAGATTTATTTCCATGCTATATAGTCCAAGCTCACACAGGTTTGCAGTTATATTTAAACTTAATACTGTGAAGCATTTTATTCTCTCTTTTTAACTCATCTGCTTCCGAAAGTGTTGAGACTATCTTCTCAGATGAGAGGTTGTAAGTCATAATTATGCTAGGATACAAGAAAGTGAAGTCTAAACCTGTGACAGGGTGCTTATTTTCAAAGCCTTTCTCCGGTAGGAATACATACGCTCCTGGAAACTTTCCAGATGCTTTCTGGTCAGAAATTTTTGTGGTGAATAGAATATTCTACGCCCACGCTTTAGCACCTAAGAGATTAGACACTTTTATTCCTATAGCATAATAATGTGAGTCAAATAGTAATATATAAGTGATTGAAGTGATTTCCCTATAATCCTTTATGATATTTTCTTTTACCATGAGCATCTGACAACGTAAAGTATCTATAACGCAATAATTTATGATTTCGTGCATATTTTTGACAGAAGAGTTGGAAGTCCCATCCCTTACTTCTGAATAATACTTCCATAATTTGCTCATAGGCATATCAGCTTTACTATTGAGACCACATTTTTCTAAGAATTTGAGTGATGTTTTCTTAGAATAGGGTGGAGTTGCATGAAACTTACATGAACATCGATCGGCACGCATCCAGGAAGTTTAAGAAAGGATGATTCGAAGTTCAAAGTAGGATTGATTTTGATATTGATGGAATTTCAGCCTAATATTTTTTTGGGACCCTTGTCCGCTTTCTTTACCCATTGGCATCTTTGGAAGAAACCATTAGTTAGTGGCTCTCCTCTCTCACCAAAATAATTCCAAGTAAGGATGGATTTAGCATCAGCTTTCTTATGCGAGTTTGCTGACATTTGCTGAACCATCCACTTAAGAACATTTAATTTGGTGGCCTTTTCTACAATGAAAGGCCAATCATATCCTGAATCGTTAAAACCGAGTTCAATGTCTGGGGCAAAAGATTTCCAATATAGAGCAAATGCCTTTAAGAGATTAGTCTGATTTCTGCATATGATTGTGATCTAACATGAGTCTGATTTTGTTTCTACATCGACTAAACATATTCTCTCTAAAGGAATCAGATCGTCTTTCTAGTGCAGAGTTATGCAGATCATAAAAACTTGGGACGTGTCATTTTTCGCTTTTGGGAAGTTTTCTGATCCATGTGAATTGTATGTTTCTATGTCTTATGTTAGCATCAATGCTCAATCGTAGGCAAAGAGAGAAGATGGATAGATTTTGTAAAGTGGTTCAAAATTGTCTATAGGGCGAAAGTTATCAATGTAAACATAAAATGTATGTGAACAGTGATGAGATTTCACATAATAAGGTGCACTAAAATTATACCTATAATCACTTATTAATCCCCACCCGAAAAGTGGTATCCAATACTCTCTTGCAACTTTACGATAATATGTGACTGTATCTTCTGAAGATGTCTCTATTTTACATTCAGGATTAACTTTTGAATTGTAGCTTGAGATGATATCGAGAGCAGTAAATCTTAGATCTTTATTGAGTATAACAATACGAAGATATGGCTTTTTTTCCGCATGATAACTATGAATAGAATATACTTTTATATATTCTATCTGGATTAGATTCATGTTCATAGTATTCCCATTATTATCATTCATAGTAGCAAGAATAGCCTTTATTTTAGACCAGAATTTGGGGATACTTGTATTTTCAGGAACACGGATATCGAAAAAATACCTTGATACTAATAATGGCGACAACTGCTTTCTGGCCATTAATGAGATATCCATAGAGGCGAAGAATATAATAGGGGATGTTATTAATATATTTTTTAGCTTTTTCTAAATCAACTGGCATGAATGGAATATCTCGATGATTTGCTATCTCATCTTTGAGAATTGAGGTCGAACTCTCATCATTTCTCATAGCCAGTTCATCACAAGATAGAATATCTACCAAGTAATTCTCATCAGAATAATGAATTATTTTAGCATTTTTATCTTTTTCAGCCTCAGGGTGAAAAAGAGCGGGACGTCGAGGGACTCTGAAAGCTCGGATTGGATCATAGTAAAAATTTTCAGATATGTTATCTAGTATACTATTCCAGTATAATACCCTAGTAAAATGTTTAAAATAAAAATAAATATTATTATAGATATCAAAAGATTAATTGATAAAAAGAAAATAATATCAAAATGGTAGACATCGAATTCACTGAGGATTATATCAGAAAGGAAGGTGAATACATTTGCCAGTATCACTCCGGTGAAGTGATAGTTTGTGAGAATGGAAGTACACGACCAGATGGATGTAGTATTCATTGGAAAAGACACCAGAAACATCTGTGCAAACATGATGGGTATGTAAGATGGACAGCATCGAAATATGGATTTTGTAACATGCATGTAAATAAGTGCCATTCGAAAGCATATTATCAGCGGAAGAAATTAGATAAGATACTTCAGAATAGGCAGACACTAGAAGCATTGAAAAAGGCTCTTGATAACTTATTGCAACAAGTGAAATTGTCCCTAGAAAGTTGTCTCTAGAAAAAATAAGGGGGACAACTTCTGGGAACGTTGAAAGTAGACTTTTTAGATTTCTGGGAAGACTTCTAGACAGGTGTCCCTAGTCTCCCTAATGTCCCTATAAAAAATCAAAACTTCTAAACTTTTTTTATTTTTTAGCATATGTATATTACGCATATCATCCATATAGTATCCATATAGTATCCATATACTGTAATAAATTAAAAAGTTATCTTATAGATCATATGATTTTTACCTTGTCACAAAATCCATCCAATCAGCTAAAATTAG